TAGGGTCATCTAAAACTGCTTCTCATGAAACAATGAATGATGTTTCATAAGAGGCAGAGGGCTTGGTAGTACCAACCAGTCAGCATGCTGGTTTTGTGCTGTCTTACTGACATCAGAATTAAATTAGGTGGTGGTGTAGTTCTTGCAGCACATGTTTGCTTGCTTTTTCTGCTAGTGAGTTGTCCAAGATAGTATAAAGTTCCCTCTCTAATTTTCTTATACAAAGAAAGTACTTAGACATCCTCTAATCAGTTGACTATCTCAAGAGAAGAGAATATAAAGACTATTTAATTCTTTCATGTTTAAATTACAAAAATGACCAGAACATAAAAATTCCTGTTACTCATTCGCTACACAAAATAGGGAGACCAAACCATGCAACCTCATTAATGAGAAATAGTAACATGTAGGATGCTTATGAAAAAGGAGGTATTCTAGCTCTAGGGAAAGGCATGAGGAAAAAAAAATCACTGAGTTGGAGATACTGGAAGTACTGGAAAGATTTGAATGAATGAAATGAAGTGGTTTAAGAAATATAAAAATAGAATGCTTTGGGCACCTGGGTGGCTTAGTTGGTTAAATGTCCGACATTTGATCCCAGCTTAGGTCTTGATCTCAGGGTCGTCAGTTCTAGTCCTATGTTGAGCCTACTTAAAACAAAACAAACAAACATACTAGAATGTTTTGATTTCCAAATCACTGAAAACTTAGTTTTAATTAAAAGCAATGGGGAGTTCACAGATGTATCTTCAGTGCTAGAAGACAGTACCTGGTGCATAGGATGCCATCAGTGATACCTGTTTTTGTGTAATGGAGAGGAATTAAAAGATTATTTTAAAGCAGAATATTAAATTCACCTTAGGGTGGGTGGAACCTAGAAGAGTTGTCATGTGCATCTGTGAGGTGACCATAGTTGACTGCTGTGCAGTCCAAGCTACACAAAGTGTCCAAAGGGAGGACTTGGCCACAATTTTATTTTTTAATTTAGTTTTATTTTATTTTTTTGAGAGAGAAGACGTGAACAGGGGAGGGAGAGAGGGAGAAGGAGAGAGAGAATCATAAGCGGGCTCCACACCCAGTGTGAAGACTAACACAGAGCTTGATCTAAAGACCATGAGATCGTGACTTGAGTCAAAATCAAGAGTCGGACACTTAACCGACTGAGCCACCCAGGCACCACTGGGCAGCAATTTTAGATCTGAGTGCAATTCATGGAAGTTCACTTCATGGTCATGTAGTGCTGAATGAACTGCACAGAACAAGAGAGAATCCACATGTACGGATTTCCGTAGTCATTTTGAGGCATGTATTTTTAAAAAGGAAATTTTCCCAACATTTTCAAAAGTGGTTTGGGATTTTCCTTCAATGCAAGCTTTTTTAAAACCTTAGATTACAACTGAACTCTTGTTATTAGTGTTGATGGAGCTAATGCTAAGTTTGGGTTTCAACATACCCTGTGCTGAAAGGCTAAATAAAGAAAACCGTTCCTCTTGAATTAACAGCCAACATAAGAGTGGGGTTGGTCAGCTCATAGGAGTAATTCTTAACCCCATCTAGTATAGTCACCTAACCAGTTGGATAAAAATGGGAGAACCTATAAATTTAAACTAAAGATGCAGGTATTCCTCCATGTAGACTTTGTACACAACCAAGAAATGTGTCTCTGAAATCTTTCTATATATGAGAGTAGTATATTGATGGGTCACAATTTCTTAGGTAACTTCTGAATACTGACTTCAACTAATATTGGGGATCTGCTTGCTATGGGTTATAGATTACATGAAGTAGGAAGTTGTTTTGATTTTTAGTGGGTTTTTTGTTTTATTTTGCTATGGAGGGAAGAGCACAGCTCTTAAAATTAGAAGTTTTGTGTTTCTTATGTTTTGGCTTTGACACTTGCTGGATACTTAGTTCAGAAGTTCCTTAATGTCTCCAAGCCTTACATTTATCATCTGTAGAAATAGAATAATACTTACCCCACCTTGGAGTTTACTTGTAGTGACACTCAGAAAAATTACACTTGGTAAACTGGGGAATGCTGGAGATTGGCTCACTTGGTTACAAGATGACAGTCCCCATATTCTGTGGAACTCTGCCCACCGGATGCAAGGTTACTTGAGTGCTTCAAGGGTCTTCAGCCCTTGGTTCTATAGTGTACTGAGTTCAGCATTCTTTTTTTTTTTTTTTTTTTTTTTTTTTTTT